GATGCTTATCTCTTGTGAGCTCTTTCAACACTCAAATATGCCAAAAAAAATATGACATATTTCACTGAAGTCAGTCCCTTTTATATACGGCACTCTTCAAACCGGTTTAAACACAGCAATGCAAGTTAAAACACGATCGTTGCAGCAGGCTCGTAATCGCTTTTCTTGGAAACTTCATTGCAGGTACTTAAACAAAAAGCGCTCTGATATACAAAGTCGCAAAAAGTCGCCTTTTCGGGTTTAATCCGTGTATTGAACCAGTGTTCCAGATTTAAATATAAATATATAAACACATATGTACAACACAAAAATATACGTAGAAGCACACACAATACGTCTTCTCTATCACAAAGTTGTGTAACCACGCGCACACTCGTCACACCACTTGTATCAACTGCCTGTAAGCATTGTATCGTTTTACAACAATGCACGTAGAGGTGACTGCAGGAATGAACTCTCATTGCAGGTACTTACACAAAAAGTGCTCCGGTATCCAAAGTCGCAAAAAGTCGCCGAATTTTTTATTTCACTGATTTTCCTAAAACTTATATTACTGTCAGATGCAAAAATCAGATTGGACAAATTTGGACATTTTTACTTACACTTATTTTAATTTTTTCTAAATAGTAAGTTTATCTACAATCTATGATATTTCCATATAAATAATCATATTTAAGCTCATTTGTAGCACAGTGCAGCGGTGGGCTGGATGAACTGACCTCGCAGGCCGGATCTGGTCCACGGGCCATAGTTTGGTGACCTCTGATCTAGATGATGAAAATGGTCTGGACTTGGCTAAGAAAATCACATCAGTGGAGATTGGGGAAAGACTAGTAATTTGGATTATATGATGGCTGAATGAAAAAGATTATTGATGGACATAAATCAAATTATTACAAGTGGACTGTCTCAAGGGTGCTTGGGACTTCACTTTTATGTAAATGTTACTGACAAAGACGTAATTAGTAAAGACTCCAGATGACGTTAAGCTCTTGGGTATTTCTGTTTTAAGGATAAGTGTACTATACAATGTCTTAGATTTATTGGGTTGTTAGTTTAGTAAGTGCAAAGCTATGCAGTTTGGTTATAAAAACTTGGAACACACACATTTAGTATAGATGGAAACCCATGCAATAGCATGACTGAAGAAAAGGACCTTGACGTAGTGGTGGATAAGTCACTCAAGTCATTGACGTAGTGCTCTTTTGCTAGTAGCAATTTTAATAGAATTTTATGGTGTATTTATATTTTATAGGTATTTCTTTACAAGTCAAGAGAAGTCATTATCTCTTTATACGAATCACTAGTTGGGCTACACTTCAAATATTGTGTGCAGTTTTAATCTCCTTATCTAAGAAAGTAAACTAACTTATTGGAAAGGGGTTCAGAGAATAAATAATGAGCTACTACGATGATTTTGGAATTTTTGTTTGTAGTTAAGCACAAATCTACACAATGGACTATCTGTGCTGTGCTCACCAAGAGTATCAAAACCCAGTTTCTATAGATATAAGTCTGCAGACTTACTGCTGAGCAATGATTTTGGAGATGGAAGGGTTATCTTATAAAGACAGGTTAATATTTATTTTCTTTTAAGAAAAGAAAAGTAAGAGAGGATTCTATTGAACTTACACGATTGTCCAAGAGATCAATAAAATAAAAACCTGATTTCTTGTGCTATATTCAGCAAACAAAAGGATGAGAGGGCACAAAGTTAAGGTTTGAAAAAACAAGCTGGGCTCCAGTTAAGAAAGTTTTATTATTCTAAATAATTATTTATGAAATGAGTTCCTTTCAGAATGGTGGGTGTTCCAAAACAGCCCTGAAGGACCAAATGGTCCCTCGTTATCCAACTTGTCCTTATGCTATGTTATTGTAGCCCTTTGCACCTTATACTTATCCAAGAAATATATTAAATGTTCACAACAACAAACACAATATCATTAAACAAACCAAATTCATAACCAAGATGTGATTCTGCTGAAAATAAATATATTTAAAACTCCCAATCTTATTGTTCCACCACTCAAATCACCGAAGGACAGTTTATCCCAAACCAGTTTTAAGTTCTTGCATCAAGTTGACTCTAGTTCTTCTACATTCTAGAGAAAACAAGTTGAGGCCCTTAATTTTGAGTCTTTCTTCACAGCTCAAAGTTTGCAAATCAGGCATTATTTTACTAGATTACTTCCTGTAATAAAGGGATCAAATTTTCACAAAGTACACTAAATGAGGCCTCATAAAAAAAAAACAAGAGCTCTCTTACTCATATATTCCAAACTTACATTCTTCGTTTATTCACCATAGTAAAGGATTATTTTAATCAAAGCTTTAAAAGCATCATTGCATAACCAGCATTTGACACCGATTTAAACTTCCTCAGTATTGCTATTAAAATTAAATGTCAACTTTCTAATACTTTTCTAAAATCTGAGAACAAAAGTCAAACTTCAAATATAAGTATGATAGAGTTACGCCTCCAGTCGTTACTTAATTTTCCGTAAATTCGTTCCGACGAAACTTTAGCGACACAAGTCCTTTCTTAAATAAAACTGGTTTATTCTTTCCGAATACAACTTTACCGATACACTTAATTTCAACAGTCGTTCTATAACAAACGCTAGAACGTCTCACGTGCTCGTGCTCAAAGTAATTGAACTGCAGTCAGAGAGTGTGTAATTGAGTATTGATTAAAGTCATTATGAAGTTTCAAAACTTTTTAACCAGTAGTTTTATTGTTGAAATGACAAATATCAAGACTTGCATTGGCTACTAAGAAAGTTAGTAGCCAGTAGTCAACGGGTTAAACAAACCACCTAAGCGTCACATTAGTGTGGCCTATATAATGTATAAAGTTTAGTATGCTCTAATTCCTTATATTGATGGCACATGACGAGACACACAATCGGCATGTAATGCTGTTTGAATACAAGAAGGGAAACAATGCCTCTGTAGTCACAAAGAATATCAAAGATGTTTATGGAAATGTTTTGAACTTTCGTAAGTGTCAACGATGGTTCATCAAATTTCATTAACTTGACTTTAGTCTTAAAAACTGTGATGGCAGGGGCCGACATGTTGGAATTAATATTGATGCTCCGAAGATACTCGTTGAGTCTAACCCAAGGCAACACAATCGTGAAATGGCCCTGTAATTGCATGTCTCTCATGAAACAATACGGAAACATCTAAGGAATATGTGAAAACTCTATAAAGAAGGTGTTTGGGTGCCTCATGAACTATCCAATGATCATCGTTTCCAATGTGTGAATGCTGCTTCGCCTCTTCTGGCTCATAATATGCATGAACCATTTTTGGACAGAATTGTCACTGGTGATTAGAAATTAATTCTCTACACAAATATTAAATGCCAAAAACAATTGCTCAGTCCTAGACAAAAACCACTTCCGACCCTAAAACCTGGACTCCATCCGCAGAAAGTGATGTTTTCCATTTGGTGGGACATCAAAGGAGTAATTAATTGCAAACTCCTCAATCCACAGCAAACTGTTAATACAGATATCTATAGTCAGCAACTGGAACATTTAAATCAAGCTCTTCATCAGAAACGCCCTTCACTCGTCAATTGGAAAGGTGTTCTTCTTCTCCACGACAATAAACATCCACATGTAGCACGTTTGGCGCAACACAAGATTATGGAGTTGGGTTGGGAAGTTCTCCCCCACCCACCATGATCTCCAGATATGGCACCATCAGATCACCATCTTTTTGATATACAAGTTGTTCAGGTTTTTCATCTAATAATTTCTTGATGGCCTAATAATTATGTCTGTGATTATTATTATTATGTCAGTTTCTCCCCCTCCTTCTCTCACAGATGTATTAATGCAGAAAACATAATATAACAATACATATATCATTACAGAATATTAAAAAACTAGCAGACAAATGAAAAACTAAAGTCAACTAACTGTGGCAGAATTTCCTTTTTTATTAGCATTGTACAACTATCTGTTATTTGAAAAATAAGCATAAATGTTGAAAGCCAACAATAGCTACAGTGGTATAAATGATAATATAATTTGAATATATTACATAGCAATTATTGATAAAGTATGTGCCTGTCATGGCCCACATTTTATGTATATTGACCCACTAAAATGGTCATGGATAGGCCCAATGACCCATCAAAACTGAATCCTGAATGTTCATTAGATATAAAAAATAAAAAAAAGATAATTCATCAACACACTCAATTCCCTTAACAGTCTTAAACACTTCCATCAGATCCCATCCAAGTCTTTTTTTCTTAAGGGAAAACAATTTCAAAGATGTATGTATCATCCTATTAGCCCTCTTCTGAGCCCTTTCCAATTATTTAATTCTTTCCTGAGATAAGGAGCTCAAAACTGAACACAATACCTAAGTGTTGCTTAACCAGTGACCAATTCAATGAAATTATAATCTCTTTAAACTTTTATTCAATATTTCTGTAGATACAACCTAAAATCCGATTGCTCTACCACTAGCAACAGTGCATTGCCTGCATAGCTTAAAGGTCTGACCAACCAGAACACTAAGATTATTTTCTTTCATAATGCTGCTTAAGTTAGCCCAATCAAAATTATACTTATTATTCAAAGTATGATAATCCAAATGCATTTCCTTGCATTTATTATAATCGAAAGCCATCTGTCATTAATCTGACCTAACTCGCCAAATTATCCAAATCCTTTTGTTAAGAAGCAGCATCCTCCTCATAGTTAAAAACACCAAATTTAAGTAATTTATTGATCATGACTTATTCTGTCACTGATGTATATCAAGCAGAACATAGTCTTGAAACTGAGCCCTGAACACTACACTTGTGACATTAACCCAGTTTAACTGAACTTCACTTATAACAATAACCATTTGCTTTTTCCATTCCAGTTATTTTTTTATTCAATGAGCCAACTTATTCCACACATTTACCTAGGAATGATAAGTTTAACTTAAGCTTTGGATACCTAGATGCAAGCTAATTTGAAAAACTGATTATATTCAGGCTTGGTAAAAAAGTAATTATCCTAATAATAGTATCTTAGTATTAGTTGTCTACTGCCCATGCTTGTAATCTGATAGTGAGTTCCTAGTTGTAGTTTAAAAATTATTCATATGTCAACCTGTGAATAAAATTTTCTTAAGCTATTAGTATTAGTTTGTGTGGCTACATACGGTATTTGTATATTGTTTAGTTGGTTGTTGTTAAGCACAACGCTACTCAACAGGCTATTTGTGCTGTGTCCACTATAGGTATCGAAACATGATTTTTAGCATTGTAAGCCAGCTACTGTGGTGAGTATTTGTAAAAAGGTATGGCAGAAAACATGGCACAATATAAATTAAATGATACTTTACAGCATTTGTAGTGTCAATGTTTCTTCTGTACTTCTTTATTAATATTAGAAGTATTATTACACTTTATAAATTTTAACGGTAAGCCATTCTTTGGTAACTTACACTTACAGGTGAATTATGACCTTCATTTTGACAATGTGAAATGGTTTCCCTATCACAAAGCTTCGGCAGTTACTCAGTTACTGTTACTTAGTTTTAGTACTACTAATAGTTCTACTAATAGTTTGTTGGTCTGAATTATTTTTAAAACTTCGTTGGATAGGTATGTGTTCTGAGGCTGTTCTTCTTCCTACAGATTCATAAGCATCAAATTCAAATGTAACTTATCTTGACTTAAGTTATAATTCAATTCCATAAATGATAGGATTAAAATGACACTTACTGACTTAGAAGTTGGATTTACTTACCTCACCAGTTTCAGCTGATACAGCATAAAGATTTTCCTTACTGACAATATACACAACATGACTCTCAGAGTTGACACAAACTTTGCTCACCTCATCACATTTTAATGTTTTATGTTCTACCTGTGTCACATATATTAACTTCAAATTCTTCATTGGTCTTTAAGTTTAAATCTTAGTACTACTACAACTACTGTTAGTATTACTAGGACACATGTATGAGTTGTAGAGAAACGAAGCTGAATTTAATTACTATTTGCTCTTTCTATACTCTAAAATTTCAGGAATATGGAAAGCAAAATTGGAAAATATGAACTTTAATATACGAGTCGTGAAAAAGAGGGGGGCGTAAAACCTACAATTTCCACATTTGCTGGAAAACAAAAATTATAAAAAGTTACTTGCACTTCCGAAGCAACCCTCAAATCCTTATATATCATAAAAAACAATAAGAGAAAAATTAGGAGTCTCTACTTCTTGAAAATTCCCAAGTGACTATATAAAGAATGTAGTATTAAATAATATAATAGGCCTAATACTAATATACTATGATAATTATAATAACTATAGTCATGCTTCGCAGCTTGTATAAGGCGTTCACACTATACAATTGTTCTTGTAACAAATGGCTTATATTTTGACTGAATACTCCTCCAGTACCTGATGATGACATAAGCTTGTCGAAACGTTGCACCTTTATAATATTAATAAGGTTTTTTTAACTACCCGTTCAAGCCGAGCCGTCTCCAAACTTTTTTATCCTCCAGAGGCTTTTCCCCGGATTATGAATAAATTTCCAAAAGCCGCCATCACTGACACCAACTCCAGCCCTTCACTCAACTGATATCTACCACCTCTGAAGAAAATGAATTAATTAATTACCAATCGCACTACAGCATCAATGGGTCACTAGACACCATTCTACTACAGTAAGCTATCTAATTCATGTATAACCTTACCCCCTCTCTCTCCCTAGTTTATGTACCAATTTATGCACTGGTCAGGTAGAATATTCGGCGCCCGGCTGGTAAAATGGGTTTTCTTAGAGTACTTTCGCCCCCCCCCCCGCAACAAATCTAAAGCTGTGGCATTGGATTTACAGAACTCAGACATGGCAAAGGATTCAAGATTCCTGCGACCCTGACTACTGGCCGTCGGTATTCTGCACGCTATATTTTCGGTGATTGGTTCTTTTGACTCCTTTCTCAAAATGTTGGATCCCGTGATTCCACATTTTTATTAAATGGTTTAGTTCAATTAGATTTATTAATTTCATTCTACTCCAATTTAAACTTTATCTATTTAGTTTTTACTTCGTGCAGTTATGTTCTTAAACAAGGTTAGAACTGGTTTGGACCTTTCCGGCTTCCTTTTTGAGACGAAAATCAGTTCAGTCTTTTCACTTATTTTTCTCAGCAAGTTGTAATTCTTAACATTTTAAGCAAGAACAGGGCCAAGAGGGATGGCTGGATATCAAAGCATCTGTGGTTAATCTAATCCTAAACACCCACCACGAACGACCGAGCTTTTGTGTTCCATTTGGTCTGATGAGCTGTGGATTGGGCGAAACAAGTCGTCAGCAATGTATATAGCGAACATAGCGTAGTTGCAATGCTATTATTAAACGATCATTAAATTCTTGAAAAGCTCTAAGGGACTAGATAAAGAATGTAACGTTGAAAATATAATAGGCCTGATACCAATGTCCTAAGACAAGTACAATAATTGAACCAATTACAAAGCTTTAAAAGTTTAATACAAAGTTTGTAAATTAAATACGTTTGCTTATATCTCGAGCGGGACCAAGATACACAGTTTAAAACAAAACAATAAAATCGCGCTTCACACTTTATGGCCGTTGTTGCATTATAATAGTGTTGCGTCAGCGAGGTCACGTGACTAGTATCACGCCACTTCTTTCTCGAACCTTCGTGAATTGTCGGGAGATTACTAGATTGGGGGTATTCTGGTATATATAAGATGGTCACAACGTGACGGGACAATGTGTGTAGGTAATGAAGATATTATAGATCATAATGCAAAAAAACTAAACTTATCAGAAGTAACAGGCTTTATGTTTCTTAAACTACACACATTTGGGAAAATTACGTTAGGAAATGGTATTTATAAGAAATGATTACAATATTTATATTTGTTGCAGATTTGACCTGATTACTTTTTATGTTTTAGTACATTATTTTGCAATCCCAAAAAATTTGTGTCGTCCATAAAGTGCAAATTTTATCTATTTTTAATTTTTTAATAATCACATTCCTTATGGTTTCGGTAATATACAAGACCCAAAAATAATATTTGTAAATAAACCTAAACAATAAATGAGTATTTTTGTTTTTAACTAAGATTTCATGTTTATTTATGTATATAAAAACATTTTAATTTTCTTTCATAAATATATTTTTATTTCAAGTTTATTCTTATGTTTCATTGCAGCCGTACTTTTGTTTATTGTGCCGCATAAACCATTGGGTCAGCAGCGTGACCTTTGTATGTTGTCCGTAACTATCTCACCCCTGTTGGGGGTCACTCTCGTTCAGCCCAGCGCGGACGCATTTGAACATTACTGTCGATATGATAACAAGAAAGCTTTTCAGTACTTGAATATCATTTCTTTGAACTTTCAAACAAGTTTATTTCAACACATGTCCTTGTATGTTGTTTCACTATACCGAGAAACCTAATTGCCACTACTAGTGAGTTGTAATAGCTTACAGAACAGGTGGTTTCAATAACACATCGCCTAATCCTTGATACATCCTGTTAGAAGAGATTACCAAACGATACAGACACCATAAATTACAAAGAAAGTCAATTCATACCACTTAAAATATTAGTCTGGTCACATTCCTCTCATTATAGGCAAGATTTATGTTGAAATTTGAAACTTAAGTTCTTCATGTATTAGCACCCCATGAGAATGTCATAGCTTTTCTGGTATTATTGACACGAGTGTGTTTAGTCTGTCTCACGACTAACACATGGGCTTTATTGTTGTCACTTGTACACTGAGTTTTAACACATATATAAAAGAACCGTACAAGAATAAAAATTTCATTTACCAAGAGAACCCACGTACAGCAAATCGTGAGTCTTCGCTAAAATCATTGAAATCTTAACACCATAACTCAGCATTTGCATTTCCAC